TTGATTAGGGGACAGATCACTCTAAAGATACTCAGTTGGTCGCTCTCCATGGATAGCATCCACCCCTGCCACTGTCAGGGACAGGATATGGCCTAGATGGACCACTGGGCTGACCCCATAGGGCGCTGCATCTGTTTTTGGATGGGCAGCTCTGAGGCACAGACACGCAGGGTCCCTTCCTCCGGGCACTGCCGTGCTGCGGCAGGATAATCATTCATGATGATTAATAGTAATTAGCAAAGTGCCCACAAGAGGCCCCAAGGTGGACAAGCAGAACGGCGGTAGAGATCCCAGCTGGGTGCAATGCTACCAGGGAGCCCAGAGCCGGGGGAGTTCAGGGGGGCTGGTCTGGGGGGGTAGGGGCGTAGGGGTAGGGATTGAGGGGCCCGTCTAGTGGGGAGGCACTGACTGCACATGCTCTGCCCCAGCCTTCGCTCTTGCAAGGCCAGCCCAGGAGGCAGTGCTAGGCTAGAAAAGGAAGCAAGGGGATTTAGGAGCTGGATCACCCACCCCACAACACCCAACTCTGGGCTGCAGGACACTTGCTGGGAGCCAACGCTGGGCCAGCTCTGGTGAACCAACATTGAGTGTCCCTAGGGCTGCTGACTGCAGAGGCCATTACATCCCAATTAATCTCATTACCGCCCCTGGGCATCATTCTCACAGCTGCTGCCGCTTAATAAAATGCTATCGACTAGCGATTAAAAAGCCATTCCCTGGGGGCTCCGGGCTGGGTGGCGGGAGAGTATGGAGGGGGACCAGGCAGGCGCCCTCAATAGATGGGCAAATAATGGCCATCGAGGTGGGATTAGTTACACCGGTACCTAGGAACCCTCTCTCAAGCATTGCTGCCCTGGGCCTGTTTCCTGTCAGAGAAGATGAGGAAGAAACAACAGCTCGCTGAAGCCAGGAACGGGGACGAGCTGGAGGGCGAGGTTAGCCCGGGGAGGGTTGGATTCTGCATAACCATCCTCACCCCCCAAATTCATCGTCCCCTCTGCTGCCACCCGGGTTTCTCAGCCTTCAAAAGCGATACAGGACTCCCTCAAGCAAGGGGCGGAGGCCCTAGCAGTGCACTGTGAGCAATGGGGCTTTGGGGGAAGTGTGGCTTTGTGTGGGATTGGCCCCTGGGAGGGTTTTGCAGGGCACAAGGGTTTGCCAAGTGTCCATGTCCGGGTGTTTGCTTTCTGGCAGCAGAACAGATGTGGGACATGGGACATACATCTCGTTCCCAGGATCGTGGCCCCCTGGGGTGAAGGATGCTGCAGGATGCAGGGGGGGAGGCTGCCCCCGCAGGGCTCAGGAAGCTGGGAGGTGCTCCCCCGGCCAGCATGGGGACTTCACAACCCCTGACCCTGGCCCCGGCCCTGACCCAGCTCACAAGCCGAGGGCTCTCCAAGCCCAGTGACGTCTTCCTCATAGGACCACTGCCGCCTCCTCCGCGAAGCCCTGCCCCACTGGCCATCCCAAAAGCAGGTGCTTTCCAGGTCGTGACCATCCCTGGACGGGCCCGATTCTGAGGCTGGAAGTGGGGGAGCACAGCAGAGGTTTCCCGTGCCAGCTCCTTGCCAAACCCCCAGAGCTAGGGAGCGGCTGGTGGAAACCCTCTCTTCAGACCCAGCTCAGGCACCAGCTCCCGTATTTTCCTTCCCTCATTCTTTCGGGGACGTGAAAACAGAGCCTGGGACATGCTGCAGTCTGGACCCAAGGCTCCCTGAATGCAAAGACTCCCGGTGACCTGGCTCGGGCTCCTCGAGGCGAGGTGGGACAGATCGGCAGGGTCTCCTCGGTCAGGCTGGCTGGTCCTTGTAATGTCCACAGTGCTCGGTAAGGGTGGGTCCGTGGGGGTAGTGGTGCAGTCTCAGCCCCCTTTGATTCCTGCTCCACTAAACTTGAAGACCGACTGCCTGGGAAGAGCAGTGGGATTTCTATTTGAGCAGCAATGAGGGAGTTGATTGACTTCATAGCTCATTATCTTCTTCCAGATTCCTACTAATCTCTCTCCACTCCCCAGGTGTGAACCACCCTTTCTCCTTTTTGCTCGTCTTGCTATTCCACTATTCAAACAATCCCTTCCTCTGAAGTTGTGTTGGTTAGCCATTCCCAGGACTGTCTCTCTTCTGTTTCCTGCAGCCTGTTTTCAGCTCGAATTAAAAAACTTAGCTCAGGTGTAGTCATACTCACTCAGGCATAGAAATGCTGATAGGGAAGTCTTGGATGCGCTGCCCAGGTGCTCAAGAAGGCTAGATTTCATTTTATGACTCTCAATGGGAGACATGCATTTACTTATAATGGCTGCAGGACTAAATGCCACAATATCTTTAGACTATTTTTTGCCGAGCATGGTGCGTGCGTGTGTATGTGTGTTTTAAACTTTATCTATTCTCTAGCAAATAAGTACACATTCCAATAAAGTTATATTTGTTTCTGCTTTGATCTTGAAATGAGTAATGTAATCCTATCCTCCTAGTTTATTGGTAAAGCTTTTAGTTTCTCTTTCATTGGGGAAAAATAGGTGTGTTGTAATGTGCAGAGGGTTTGATGATGTGCCGCACCCTCTGCACCCCCCCACCCCAAAATCCTAGATCTGCCCACAGTGCTCAGACACTTCATTAGCCGGGACCAGAACCAGAGGAGAGAACAGTTTCATCAGGACACCCCTGGCTTTGCCAGCTGGATGGCTTGGAGATTTTCAGATGGCATTTCGGAGGCAAGACACGTCATGGCGGCGTGGCTGGCGGAGCTCTCCGGGGCATTGGGGGTATCGATTTCCAGGGCTCATCGATCGCCCATTCTGGCTCAGGGATCCTGGCTGCTCCAGCCGCGCTCCTTGACATTCAGTGACATTTTCCGAACGCTGCCTTTGAAGAGCAGCTCAGAAATTGTTCGTTCATGACCCGGCGCTGCTTCTCTGGTGCACGTTGGAGGTTGCAGACTCTACTGGGACGTGGCTGCTCATGGTCCGTGTGCCAGAAGGCGTCAGCTGCTGCTGACGGAGGTCCTGCTCTGTCACCATGACCCCCCTTGCCCCCTTCACAAGACTTCGGTGGTGGTTCCTCACCATAGCTCTGCAGTCACTTCACTGTGCTGTGCCAGGCCGGGGGAACGGCCAAGTGACTTGCCCCAGGCCACGGAGTGCGTCAGTGGCAGGGGCCGGGAAAGAGCCCGGGGGCCTGACTTTGTGCACTGGCACCAAGGTCCCACGAAAGCAATGGGGAGGTTCGGATCTGGTCCTCACAGGTCGTTAGGCCTGGCAGCTAAGCCATGAGGAGGGATGGGTTATGGGGCGGCTGTGTGAGGGAGCCACACAGCATGCCCCCCTCATATGTCCCCAGACTTCAGAGTGTTTGACGGCCCAAGCCCCCTGACAGCTCTGCAGCTGGGCCTCCTGCCCCGAAGACCAGGATGGGAGCCAGCCACGGGGCTTTCTGAACCAGCGGCCAAAACATGATTTGCTCAGCCAGGTCCAAGTCAGACGGCAGGGCTGGGCCACCTCCCTGGAGGGGCAAATCTAGAGCCCGGTCGGCCCAGGTGCTTGGATTGGACCCATTTCACAGTCCCCAGATACCCACAATGTGGCGCAGGGTGATTTGGGCGAGAAGCTGGTGGGACACCCCCAGCCCATGTCTGCCTGGCTCAGGCCCTAGCCTTGAGGCCCCGGTTGTGGGATCAGGAGGAAGCCAGGAGTAACCCCAGGACGACACAATGCCCTTGTGTCCATCTGGACACAGCGCTCCCTGCAAGCCCCTGCTGGGTTTTACCCCCTGCACTGCTCGGTCCCCAGGCCACGTGTGGCAGAGGTGACAGAAGTGACTAAGGAGCCCAAACAGGGACTGGCCGGGGCAGGTCCCATCCAGCCACCCACCACAGCTGCCGTAGCTTCCAGCATCTCCCACCGCCCCACTCTCCAGCAAGCCACGTGAAGGCTATGACACGACTCTGGGTAATTCCCAGGACCGAGGGAAAACCAGGTTCTTCTAAACACATGATCCCCCCTGCAAAAAGAAGAGGACGCGGCCTCTCTACATAGGATAGGCTGCAATGGCTGTATCCGGCTGGGACACCGCTGGCAATGGGTGGGGCAGAGAGCGCGAGAAAAAAAGCACTCGAAGGACCGGCGAGAATCTCTGTGGGTTTAATTCTCAAGCCGAGTGACAACCAGCTCACAGACACTGGGGAGAGGGATTCCCTCGCTCCCCAAAAGTGCTCACAGGGGGGGTACAGGGGGTAGCTGCCAGTCTGCAGGGGCGAGGGAAGCAGAGGAGCCAGCAGCTGGCGCGGGGGGGCCTGGCAGCTGGCAGGAAGGCTCCAGAGTCTGCATGGGGAGGATGCACACTCCAGGGAAGCAGTGAGGCACAGCCACCCCCTCTGCCACGTGGCTCCGGCTTGGTCCGGGGGGGTGGATGGTGTCTCTGGGGTGAAGGGAAGGGGGCACGGGGTGGTCCTGCCTCATCCGAAGCAGAGGCAGTGAAGCCACGATGTGCTGGGACAGCCAGGCAGCCGTGGGTGCCATAAGCGTGGACAAGCTGGGGGAGAGTCTGCCCTTGGCCCCGTCGTCCTCGGTGGTGTTGGAGCCGTCAAGCCCTGGGCCTGTCAGGAGACACTGCACCGCTGCGTCTGCTCAGCTCCAGTGAGATACGGTCGCCCATTCCCTCCATGTCAGCCCCCTGACCCTCCGCTGCCCCCCTGACATGTCCGGGCCAGCGCCACTGCTGCCGGCTCCTGCGATATGCTGTGTGTGCTCCCAGCAAGCCCCAGCTCCCGGAGTCCTGTGGTTAGCTCAGTTCTCAGCCACGGTCCATTTCCAGCCCTTGTGACAGGGCAGAAAAGCTGGGATGTGTGTGATTCCCATGCACGCCGGGACCCAGAGATAAAGGGATGAAGCCTGGCTGCATTGTTCCCCTAGAGTCACGCCAGTGCTGGGGACTGGAGCTGCGATACCAAGCTCCTGCACATCTGAATGGGCGCATGGGGAAGGCGGGGGGAACCAGAGCGCTGGAGGAGGTTGGGGCTGCAAGAAGGAGGGATTCGGGGTAGGAGGAAGCCCGGGGGGGGGTGAATGGAGCTAGTATGGGAAGAAAACAGTGAAGAATTAAGAGCTGATCCCTGGCTGCACCAAGGGCTGTGAACAACTGGGCCACGTGCCTGACACACTAACACCTCCGCTGTGACAGCCCCAAACCACCCGTTCTGGCTGGCACATCCCTGCAGGGGCACGGTGTGATCCTGCCACAATGCCACCCTGCTGTGATGTGCTCTCGCTGCCAGCTGGGCATGGGGAACCAGGGGCTGGCCCCCCAGAGAGGCACGGCAGGACATCGCATTGGGAGACCCAGACCGGGATCAGCAGGGGACAGAGGCAGCGGAGACAGACTTCCCTTGGCCTACAGCAGTGTGGGGAGAGTGCTGCCCTGTGGCCATGCTCCAGCCCTCTGCATGGCTGAACCTCCATCCGAGTCCCTGCTTCTCAGCTGTAGCAGTGGCTGCAACCCCAGACCTCCCTGGGCTCAGCTGCGCTCACCAGGCTTCGTTTGCTCCCTTCCCTTTCTATGAAGCTGCTTCGGGGCTGCCAAATGTTCCCGATACAACCCACCCGCACTCAGTGCCATGCCAGGGGCTCTGGCTCTGCCCATGGAGGCAGCAAGGGCACAGACCATGGTGTGGGCCAGCAGCCAGGAAGAATTAATGCTCTTAATGTGGACCCAAATTTGAGAGGTCCCCTTCCTCACCATCCGGAGGCCCTTGGCAAGCTCAGCCCTGAGGGGGTGAGATGGAGACAGAAGCCTGTGTCTGGGCAGTGCTAGCAGGTACCACAATGCAGGGGAGATGGGAGTGGGTGACCGCGAATGCCAGTCCTGGCCTGTCCCATCCCCTTGCGGTCACATCCGAGCCTGGCGGGTGGGGAAGGCTCTCAGTCAAAGACCTCCGCGTGCTCATTGCCGCGCTCGCCCTCCCTGTCCGTCTCATACTCCTCCAGGTTGGCCAGGGGCAGCCCGTTGCTGCTGGCCACGTGCTCGCACACCGTGCTGCGGGTGGTGACCCGGGTGACGCTGGGTGAGTACTTGCGGGAGCCGAGGCGCTGGAGGTGCTGGTGACACATCACCTCCTTGAACATCTCCCGGAAGCGGGTGGACATCAGGTTGTAGAGGATGGGGTTGGTGGACGAGCTCAGGTAGAAGAAGACCCCCGAGATGATGTGGATGTACTGGAACATCTCATGCATGTTGCCCGTCCAGTTGGAGATGAAGCTCCAAACCAGCCGGTCCGTGTGGAAGGGGGCCCAGCAGATCCCAAACACGAGAACCAGGACAACTGGAAGGGAGAGAGGAGACCGGCATCACCGGGCACCGATGACTGCCTGCCTTTCAGTCCCTGCCTTTGCAGCATCCTTCCCTCCCCAGGAGCTAGGAGACCGGTGGCCAGTGTAACACACCAGTAAGTGTGCGTCACACTCCCTCTGCAGCCATACACCCTCACAAGGAAGCCAGGTTTAGTGGTTAGGGCATCAGGAGACCAGGATTCGATTCTCTGCTCTGCCACAGCCTCTACCCATGACCCTGGGCAAGTCACTTAGCCACTGTCAACCCAGTAGGGCTGACTCCCCTGCCTATCCTGAATAGAGCTCCGGGGTGCTCAGCTACTGTGGGAATGGGGCCTGCATAAAGGAAAACAACCTACTGCTCCCACCAGTTGCTGAAATGACTCCTCAACTTGTGCTGGATTCTGCCCCAGAAAAAGTCTGGGTGGGGTGGGCTTGAACAGGCACTGGTGAGCCTCCGTGCCACCTGCTGAATGGGACCCCTGCCCCTTCCCCCCAGGCACCGGACATGCCCTTGCAGGCCGCCTGGCAGCCTGACCCCAGGACTGGCGGCTCCCGTGCTGAAGCGAGTCAGCCCGGAGAAGCCAGGCTTATAGGGAGGAGAGCTCCAAGCCCGAGGCCAGGCCCCTGCTCCCAAAGTCTGGGAAAAAGCCAGTCTGGGAGGTTTGAAATCCCTCAGGCTGTGAAGGTTAAACCCCAGTGCTTTGGGCACTGTGGGAGACAGGGGTCAGGCCTCCCCATCTTTGGCCTTCCCAGAGCTTCTGCTTCCAGCCCTGTCCAAATAGCAGGGCGTCTCCAGCCCGTCAGAGGCCCCCCGCCCATGCCAATAAGGACGGTGGGTGCTCGGCTCTGCATCAAGGAGGCAGACGGGGGAAACACGCTGGGAGCAGGGCTGTTCTGGAGGAGGCTGCCAGCAGCAGGACCTGAGCAGGGTGTCCGCCAGCGTGCGGCGCAGCAGGTCCGAGGGTGCTGGGCCCAGGGCTTCGGGTGGGTGCTCCCACGCTCAGGCCTCTGGCTGCCCCCTGCACCATGGGGCTGTGCCTCCTCATGCAAGGTCCATCACCAAATGCTCCAGTCCCTGCTCCGGGAATGGTGGATGTCTCCTCAGCCCTGCTAGCTGGAGGTGCCACATGCTGCACAGCGACGGGCTTCCCGGGAGACCGACTCGGGGTCGGCAGGACTTGGCTGCACCTTGTTTTTTCCAGGAAAGCGCCCACCTCTGTCCGCAAGGGAACAGGAATCCAGGCTTCCCCTTGACCTGTGCAGTCACGGGAGAGGCCAGGCCCAGGGGATGGGAGTCCCTGGCCGCTCCAATGGGTCTGGGCTCTGCAGACCAGCCTTCAGCACCCATCGGATCCAGGGGTCACAACCACTCAGAGACCCCAACCTTCAGCTCATCGGGGCTCCCTAGCAGCAGCCCCTGTGGATAGCCAAGCCCATAACAGCGTCTGCTCCTAGAGCTCCTTATCTCCCAAGCTGCACGCTGGGGCTTTGCAGGCCACGTCTGGACGGGAGCCCACAGTGGTGCAGTGGTCCCGTTTCCACGTCCCCGTGCCTTTGCCAGCCCCTGCAATCCTCTGCTCTCTTAGCAAAGCCAGTCGGCGGGTGGAGCACATGCTGCCTCATCTCACTGCCCTGAGCGAGGAAACCACGGCCTGGCTGCCTCCTGCCCCACTGTGGCTCCGGGATCGTTTGGTGAACGTGGCCTCCACCCCTACGGCATCTATCCCAGAATGCTCAGCACCGGTGCTGGGGGGGCAAGCACAAGGATGCTGCCCAGTGTGCTGCACTGCATTAGGGGAAGGAGTGAGGCCGTGCAGCCGAATCAATGTGGCTGTACTGCTGCCACCTCCCTTCCCCAGTACAAGTCTATGGGTTGGGGACGGGCTGCAGATACTCCCACTCCAGCCAGATGTAAACCACCCCCTTGCCCAGATGTTGCCAGCCAGCAGTGCTGCGGGCACTAGTGAGCGGCTGGGATGGCTGCCATGTGCGGGCACAAGGCTTTGCGCGGCCCGTGGTGGCTTATAAGGTGTGGCGAGATTAGTGGCTGGCTACGACTATCCCAGTGAGGACAAGAGGCGTTTTGCTCGCCCCAGAGACCACGGCTCTGCTCTCCGGGGAAGTGCTGCAGCAGGGACATGCGATCTGGTTAGGATCTCGCCCTCCATTGCCTGCCAGGGTTGCTCCAGACATCTCTCTGCCACGTCTCTCTGTCTTGGCAGGCCCACGCCCTGCCGTCAGGCCCCCGCGCTGTGGCCCAGCTGGGGCAGGAAGCCCTGTGGTTCAGCACACGGAGGCAGGGGGCTCGGGGAGGCAAGGCTTCCTGCACTGGGTTGCATCCGAGTAGCAGCTGAGCACACCTGGCAAACCCTGCTGCCTTGGAAGGCTGCCACCGTGATTAGCAAGATTAAACAGCCCTTCATTAATGAAGCAATCGAGCCGGCGACCCCAGGCTCCGCTCCCAGATGCAGGCTGCTGGCTCACAGCCGGGGCCACTATCTCCAGCTCTCTGCTGGAAGCAGCCAGTTTTTCAGTGCACCCTTTCCCTGCCTGCTTGAACATCTCTGCTGGCCAGTGCAGACGGGGGCCTGGGAATCAGGTGTTGCTACAGGCAGCAAGCCCTTATGGAGTTCACCCCCATGCCCAACACCCCGGCCCCTGACACCCCACCACCTCGCCCATGGGCATCTCTGCCCTGCGTGGCACCAGATCTACGACAGACCTCGGTCACGCTGCCTTCCCCACTTGCTCCAGACTCGTCCTCAGGTGTCCCCCAGCAAAGCCAGTGGGGTGGAGGTGTCTCTGCTACAGCGCTGCATTGCAGTTACCTCCCTGCTCTTCCTGCAAGAGCGCGACGCGCCCGGCTCCTACTTCACCCGAGCGCTGCAGCTACAGGCAGCCTGGCTGCAACCCCCACACCCTCCGCTCTAGCGTGGTGCGGCACCGAGACCTGGGAGCAGCTCCCTGGTAGGGAAACAGGAGGCAGGACCAAGCGGTGAGGCAAGGCCTGTGTCTCTTATCCCGCCACACAGCTTTGTGCCCGCCAGCCATTCTGCCTTGTTTTAATTGCAGTCAAGCTAACGGAGAAGACTAGGGGCACGGTGACTTCCCGCCTGTGCTTGTTGCCCTGGCACAAGGGATCAGCGTGCAAAAGCAGCTTGGTGCTCACACACGGGCTGGAACTACAGCCACAGCCTGTGTGCATGGGCTTAGCTACATCATCTTGCATGGGGCAATGAGGCTTTACACCCTGTCTGGCCCAAGGTGTCTCAGTTATACACCTGAGCATGGAGCAAGGTCCCTGCTGGGTGCTGGAGCCATGGGATGCCAGGCAGTGCAGACCTGGCTGGCGTGGGGGGCACCACAGGGCCTGGTATGTCACCCCCACCCCCACAACCATCTCCAGAGCAGGTCCCTATTGTAGCCTCGCTCCTGGCTGGGCCGTACGGATGCCAGGGGCACAGCACAGAGGAGCCTCCTGAGCCCCCCGGCCTTCCTCTCTCTCATGCAGGCTGCAAGGGCTGGGCCTGGCAGGGGCTGAAGGCTTGCACTGGGGCTGCTGTGCACCCCACAGACCCTGCCAGGGGCTCAGGCCGCCAGGTGTGCATGCACGCACCATGTGCCTGGAGATGTGGGTGTGAAGGCAGAGCCTGCCTGGAGGGGATGAGCTCCCGCTGAGACCCCTCACTCCTGGCATCATGCTGCCATTATGGGAGTAAAGACCCTTTGCAAACCCTCCCATGGGGAGGTTGGGTAGTGCCCCCATAGCTCAGAGGAGCGCGAGGTGTCCCGCCGAAGCCCCAGGAGGCTGGAGGTCTGGCCCACGGACTTACACAGCATCTTAGTCACCTGCCTCCTCCGGACCTTCTTCTGCTGGGCTCGGACATGGTGGTAGTCACTGTCCCTGCCCGCCTTGGCCTCCAGGCTCTGCAGCATCTTCTCCTTCCTCAGCTGCAGGCCGATGAGCAGGTAGAGGATGCTGAGGGTGCCCATGGGCAGGAAGAAGAAGAGGATGGTGGTGATCTGGATGATGAGGTTGTAGAGCACCAGTGGCTTCACCACCATGCAGATGGCCGAGTCGGGCACCACGCCCCGGCCTGGCACGTACAGCGGCCTGATGCCATGGAGGCTGGTGTTGGGGATGGAGCAGAGCACCGAGAGCACCCAGATGGCACCGATGACCCGCTTGGCATGGTTGCGGGTCACCACGTACTTGGCCTTGAGCGGGTGCACCACGGCGATGTAGCGCTCCACGCTCAGGGCCGTGACGTTGAGGATGGAGGCGAAGCACACGGCCTCGAACAGCAGTGTCTTGAAGTAGCAGCCGCCCGCGCCCAGCAGGAAGGGGTAGTTGCTCCACATGTCGTACAGCTCCAGCGGCATGCCCAGCAGCAGCACCAGCAGGTCTGACACGGCCAGGCTGAACAGGTAGTAGTTGGTGGGCGTCCGCATGAACTTGTGCCGCAGGATCACTAGGCAGGTCAGCGTGTTGCCCACGGCGCCCACCACGAAGATCAGCAGGTAGGTGGTGCAGACGGGCACGAAGAAGCTGGACCGCCGCGGCCCCAGGTACTTGTCCCGCAGCTCGTCCTCCGTGAGGGTCATGTCCTCCGGGTCCACGTGGCTGTGATTGCAGAGCACCTCGGCCTCCAGCTGGGCCAGGTAGTCGCGGAGGGGTGCCAGGCTGGTGCAGTTGGTGTAGGGATACATGGCCTCTGGCTGCAACGAGACTCACTGGCATGGGGGAGATGCCGCGAGCAGCCCAGGTGCTCCCAGCCCTTCTCCATGCAAGATGCCTGCCCTGGGCCCACCCAGCTGCTGGAGCCAGGGGGGCTTCTAGCCCTGTCCCCAGGACAGCTCTGAGTGACCGAATCTCTATCCGAGTCCCTGCTGCTCAGCTGTAGCCACGGCTGCAGACCCAGACCTGTCAGCTTCAACCCCTGGGCTCGGCTCAGCTAAGCAGGCTCCTCTTGCTCCCTTCCCCTTCTATGGAGCCGCCTCGGGGCTGCCAAAAGTACCCGATACAACCCACCCACACTCAGTACCACACTGGGGGTCCGGCTCTGCCCATGGAGGTGGCAAGGGCACAGACAGCGGCCAGGAAGAGCTAATGCTCTTAATGTAGACCCAGATTTGGCAGCCCCCTGCTTCAGTGCCCGGGAGCCCTTGGAGAGCTCAGCCCCCCACCCCACCGCTTGGTCCCGTGCAAGGTCTGGCCTCAGCCCCATGGTGTGGGGAGGCTGGACTGTGTGGGGCTTTGCTCGGGGTGCCGCTGGATGGGTCTGGCCCTCAGGGGCATGTCCATCCCTGCCCACGACAGGCTGCCCCTAGCACCACACTGGGCCACGGGCAAGAGCAGCCCTGCTACTGCACCAACACTGCACCGGGCTTTTCTGGAGGTGCCCACCCGCTCCCCCAAACCTCCTGGTCTCTCTGGGCCAAGCCTGCAGGCCTCCAGCTCCTGCTCAGCCTTGTCTCTGCTTGGCTTGGCTTCCACCTGCTCCCTTCACGTGCCCTCTGGACCGGGGGGCCAGGGCCCTTCTCACCCCACAGCCCCTCTGGCACCAGCCACGGAGCACCCGCTTGGCACGTGGCCCCAGGGTCAGCCCTCGCCCTTGCCACACCGCAGAGGGGAGAAGCCAGGGGGTGGTGGTATCGCATCTTGCCCAGAACCTGGATGAGCTTTCATAGCCGTCTGGGGAGTGGGAGCTCCCTGCCTCCAGCTGCCCCCCGGCTCCTTCCAGCTCAGCCCCCCGGCCAGGGGCTGGGGAGGGGTCGGTGAATGGGACCAGCCAGGTCCTGGCAGGAGTTTCCCACCTCCCCACAACCAGTGCCTTACCTGTGCGAGGGGCACTGCGGCACCGGTGGCAGCACGCCCGGGAGAGGCTCTGGAATGACAGAGCAGACCACGGCTCGGAGAGGGTTCGGGTGGGTGATGGGGACACCCTCTCCAGCTGGGGACGTGGCAGCTTGGTGGCCCATCGGTCCCCTCTCCCCTCCACCCCTCCAGAAAAGCCACGGGCGCTTTGGGGCCCCAGCACTGCATTAGCATCCCACACTGAACTGGAGCTGGCCGGGGAAGTTTCCATGAGAGCCGGTGCCTTGCCACAGCCACAAGCAGGGCTGGGGGGGGCAGGAGCCCGCACCCCCCCCTGCTGCATCTCACCGGCCACCCGGCACCTCCTGCACCCACATGTCCGGGGCCGGCTCTGGCAATCAGGCTGGTTCCCGGACACCCAGCCGGGCACCTGCTCACGTGCACGCGCTCACAGCCAGAGCCCCCCCTCCCCGCTCTGCCTGCGTGACCTCCAGGGACCGGACCCCCCATGCCTGCCCTGCTGCCTGCACGGAGAGCAGCCCCCTTGCTTCCTAACTCCGGCTCCCGTGACTGCTCCGGTGCTCCCCACAGCAGCCTGCCCCCTCCCCTGGCTCCGTGCTCCAGCACCCGGCTCCCCCCGGCTCTGGGGTCTGGCACCCCACTCCCCCCAGCTTTGGAGCTCTGGCATCCTGCATCCCCCAGGCTCTGGGACTCCAGCACCCCACTCCCCGCAGCCCCAGCACCCTGCTTCCTCCAGCTCTGGGACTCCAGCACCCTGCTTCCCCAGGGTCAGGGCTCCAGCACCGTTCTCCCCCAGCCCTGGGTCTCCAGCACCACGATCCCCTCAGCTCTGGGGCTTGGGCACCCCACTCCCCTGGTCCTGGGTCTCCAGCACCACGATCCCCTTGGCTCTTGGGCACCCCACTCCCCCAGTCTGGGGCTCCGTCACAACAAACCCCTCGGCTCTGGGGCTTGGGCACCCTGCTCCCCTGGTCCTCGGTCTCCAGCACCACGATCCCTTTGGCTCTGGGGCTTGGGCACCCCACTCCCCTGCTCTGGGGCTCCGGCACCCTGCTCTTCCTGGCCATGGGGCTCCGGCGTCCCCATCACTAGGGCATCAGGTGCTTGGGGCTGAAGAGCTCCAAGCCTTGCTTGTCTGGAGGGTCCTGCCTGGGTGGGCAGGGGGCAGAGAGGGGCTCACCGGGCTACAGGGTCCAGGCAGAGAGGGCTGGGGCTGGCCCGAGCATCTTCGCAGCTCCGGGCGGAGTTTGAGGTGGCAGCTGAAGTCCTAACTCCATCGGTGCTGGTGCCCGCTGCGTGTGGGCGAGCTGCAGCGGGCTGGGGGGAAAGAGCATCACTGAGGCGGGGAGGGACAGGGGCGGGGGCCGGCCGAGGCGCTGGCTTTTCCAGCGCCACCCGGGGGCGGGGGGGCCCCCCC